CCAGAAAGAAGCTTTCAATTCTGTCTTTCCAGTAGTCAAAGTTCTCTCCATCAAAGACTGGAGATTTGCCACTGAATCTGTCTCTTTCTTCATTGTTGTCATTGCTGATGTTTTGATGTGGTCCTGCCATTGTGTTTTTCTGATGCTGGATCTTGTACTGATACGGTTAAGTGTTATAAGCTCAGAACCAGGCGCTCTGATGCCAATTGAAGATGTGAAAAACACAAGAAGGGGGTTGAATTGTAAATCTTAAAATCAAAAGCTTAATCCACACGGTATTTTTATCCTGGTTCGTTTGATCTCAAACTACTCCAGTCCACCCGTCAAGGTGATTTCGCCTCTCTCCAACGAGGTCTTAATCCACTATAATCAACTGATTACACAACTACTTTAACAACTATTAAAGCCTTCTTGAGTCTAACCACAGACCGATTTATCTCAAGGAAATTCTCTTACAGATAATTGAACAAAAGTGTGTTTGATGTTTTCTAATAAAACTATATATCACAACTGTGATAATACACAATATTAAGCTTAGAATGAAACTGGACTGCTAATGCTTTTGAGTAGGCGTGTTTGAAATCTTTAGCAAATTGTATGAGTGAGTTTGTTTTCGTAGGCGTGTATATGCGTGAAGATTATTAGCCTCTTCTTTTCTCACACTGACTTGTTTATATAGCCAAGGCAAAGATACGTTGTTGTTCATAAATCACTTTCAATGATAATAACGTTCTTTCCTTTTTGAGAAGATCTTGTCTTGGAATAAAGCCGTTGGTAATTAATCTGTCTTGAATGCTTAGTAACACTTCAGAGTGTTCTGCTAATGATAATCAGAGTGTTCTTTCCTTTAACTTATTCTGACGCTTCTGAGTGGTGATGACTTGGTGAGGATCTTGATCAGAGTCACAGTATTTTATGCACAGATTCTGGTCATCAGGCTTCAGCGTATGATCTGGTAACTTCAGTGTGTAGCACATGCTATTGATCTTCTGATGCTGACATATCTTCTGATGCTGATGTTGATACTGATCTTCTGATGCTGATTCCATCAGAGTTTCTGTAAATACACAACATAATTTTAAGTAGCATATATGTCTTGTATATAAATCTTACAATTTATTTATTCTTGTATTTTGTTATCATCAAAACTCTAATTGAGGGTTGTAGAATCAAACTATGTTCTAACACAAATGATCTCAAGGAGTTATTGGATATTTTGGAAATCTTGTAATGCTATATACAAACCCTCTTTGAATCACTTTCTAAAATTACAAATGGAACTATGTGAAACTTGAGTCATAAGTTAGGTCAAAATCCACACCAAAAAGCTCAAAATTTCACTAAGTGTTTTAGTTTCATGACCATGACTTCATGGATTAATAACTTGAAATCCAAGCATTTCTAGGAGAAGTTGTGTAAAGAAAAGTTTTAGATCTCATGGATATATACATCTTTCATGTTGAAAGTTTCTTTTGAATCATCTTGCATCATGGTGAAAAATTGGCTCAAAGTTGTGAAAAAATATGAAGTTTTCAACACTTAGAAAAATTTCTAAGTTTGGAAACTTTGACTTTTCAAAAAGAAATCTTGAATTTTTGATTTCTTGATGAACAAGTTTCATATTTTGACATGTTTTGATGAATTGTGATCTTTGACACTTGATTTTGACCAAAGAGTCAAAGTTTGACTTTTTAGTGTACAATTGACTTTTGATCAGTTGACTGAAAATCAACTATCAATAAATTGATCTTGAGCAATGTTTTGAGTCATTCCATTAGGTAAAAATGATGCAATTGAAATATTGAGATCATGCCTCAAACCAATTAACCATTTGCTAGATCAAAAATCAGAAATTGCTCTTTCTTAATCAAAACCCTAATTTTGACCATTTTGTCCTTTTGATGATCTGATCAAATTTCTTGAGGAATTGTGGTCCAAACTTGATCAAATGATACATATTAGTTTACAATGTTGATATGGATAAAAAATTATGAAGTTTGACTGTAAATTGACCACAATTAACTTTTTTTCCCAATACAGTTGATTTTTAGGTCAACTGCTCAATTGACTGAGCAAAAATGTGATCCAAGACTTGAAACTTGATATGAGAAATCTTGAGAGTCCATAATGATCCATGAAACTCATATGAGGCATTAAAAACTCAATTATCCTTATGCAATCTCAAACCTTAATTTCAGTCATCAGTGCTTAAGGAGGTGTCTTGAACTGATCAACCCTTGTGCAGTCTTGAATAAAAGGAGATCTTGTGAGAAAATACTTTATAAATGAGAGGAAAAAATTTAGGGTACAACAACCATGAAAGAGAAACTTGAGACTATAGAAAGAAACAAAACTTGAAAGACGACTAGGCTTCCAAATAAGAAGAAAGCCAACAACGTCATATGGGTTTTCAAGGTCAAATATAAGCCAGATGGATCAATTGGCAAGCATAAATAAGGCTAGTGGCTAGAGGTTTTCTTCAGAAACCTGGGCTAGATTACTTTAAGGTGTTTGCTCCTGTAGCCAGACATGAAACAGTCTGATTGGTGATTGCTTTAGCTACAAATAGAAATTGGCATCTAATGCATCTGAATGTGAAGTTTGCATTGCTGAACGGTCCATTACAATAAGAGGTATATGTTTCACAATCTCTTGGATTTGTGAAAAAAAATCAGGAAGAGATGGTGTACAAGTTACATAAAGCTCTGTATGGATTGAAGCAAGCACCCAGAACTTGGAATTTGAAGATTGGTTCATTTTTCAAAAATCAGAGTTTTCAGAAATGTGAAATGGAATATGGAGCTTATGTGCAGCATTTTGGATGCGATATGATTCTGGTGTGTCTCTATGCTGATGACATATTGCTGACAGGTAATTGTTTTGAAGAGGTAGTCAAGTTCAAGAAGATTCTTATGAATGAGTTTGAAATGACTAACTTAGGAAAGCTGGTATAATTTCTAGGGATGGAGGTATTGTACTCTGAAAAGGGTATAATTTTACATCAACTAAAGTATGAACTTGAGTTTCTGAAGAGATTTAAGATGCAGAATTGTAAAGTTGTTGTCACACCATTAGAAACCAATCGTAAATTGGATTCTGACTCTGATGGTGAAGATGTGGATGCTACAACCTTCAAACAGTTGGTTGATTCTCTAAATTATTTGTGTAATACCAAACCAAATATTGTTATGCAGTTGGTTTGGTTGGTAGGTTTATGAGTAAATCTAAGTGGTCCCATTACCAAGATGCTGTCAGGATTCTGAGGTATATCAAGGAAACTCTGAAGTTTGAAGTACTATTTCCTTCTGGAAGAAAGACAGATTCAAAGTTGATAAGTTATTGATTCTAATTGATGTGGAGATAAAGTTGATAGAATATGTACTTCTGAATACTTGTTTAAGTTTCTGGGAGGTCCTATTTCTTGGTGTTTCAAGAAACAATTTGTTGTTGTTTTATCAACGTGTGAAGCAGAGTACATTGCAGATGTTGTAGTTGCATGTCAAGTTGTGTGGCTTCAGAGTTTATTGTAGGATCTGAAGATCAAAGTAGATAAGCCTCTGAAGCTGATGATTGATAACAAGTCTGCAATCAATTTGGCCAAGAACTCAGTTCTACCTGGGAGAAGCAAGCATATTAAGACAAAGTATCATTTTCTCAGAATTCAAGTCAAGAACGGAGTACTAGAAGTTGTGCACTGTAGCACATAGAAACAATTAACAGATATTATGACAAAGACAATGGATCAATTTCTTCGCTTAAGGGATGAAATTGATGTAATTAGTTTTAATTAGAAATCTAAATTAAGGGGTGATATTAAAGGGTATTTTAGTATTTCTAATTGTTTTTGATAACTTAGTTATTAAATATATTCTATTAGAGTCTATGTGATATTCCTTTTTGTGTATAAATATACTAGTTGTAAATGTCATAAATACAACAACTTTATTCCTCTTGTACATTTTACAGCGGTCATTTTCTACTCTCTTCAACAGATTCAGTCTATTCCTGAGAGGATAAATTCAGATCCTTTACCCCATGATCCAACTTAAGAATTTTATAATATATCCATCAACATTTAAAGTGTATAGACAACAATTTAGCTTGACGTTGAGGACATTATTGATCTTGTAAATTATTAGGCCTGGTCATTAACATTTGTTGGAGATACTGCAATGCAATTAGAGTGAAAAGAAAGAAGGTTGCAGGTGAAGTGTCACTTTTGTTTATATTCATAATAATGTATCTTATAAACTTGAATTTTATAAAATATCACATAAACATGTAAACGTCACGTTTGTGATTACACTGTCAAGATGCCAAAGTTTTCACTCACAAAATGAATTAGAATTTTTCCACATAATTTAGACTACTTTTGATCTTTCCTTTTGTCTACATTTCAATTCGAATTTTTCAAGAATTGCAACTTGATATATTTTTTTAACGCAATGATATAAATTCCATAAAGCGAAATCTAACTTTAGATTTTACATGAATAAAGCATGTTACTTTTGTGCTGTAAATTTTATTTACTTCTGTAACGAAACTGTAAATTAACCAATATGCTTAACTGTAAACATGTTAACAGGCATAAACTATTCATGTAACACAAAAAAACACCATTTGTTATTTTAAATTTGACCCTTTAACTAGAAATAAGCATTGACATTGAGTCAGTAAACAAAAGTGGCTAGTCCTAACAATAGTTTTAGGTGAGATTGAAAAGATAATTTAAAAGACTAGATAAATGTGCAAGGCATCTTTATTATGAAAATATATTGGTGGATGTACATAGGCTTCTTTAAACCAAGATGCACATCTTCCATTTTCAGCCTCTACAAAATATTCAGATATTACCAGTTTTTCACAACATTAACTATGGACATACAACCCAGAATATGACTGCATACCAAACATTTACTCAGATACTAATGCCTAAATAGTTACTATTTGAACATGATGAGTAATGGCATTAGGAGTGGTGACCAAAGATGATATGGTGGTTACATACGAGATATCTGAAGTGGGATAGTCAAGGAAGCCATCTCTCCCATTACTGGCTGAAACAAGTCCAATTCTCCATATCGCTCAAGTACACGCATCCTGCAATCTTCAGCTGCCATCATTCCAGTGGAATATGCACCATGGACAGACCCTGGATAGCTCATACTTGTTGCTTCCCCAGCAAAGAAAAGGTTATCTACTGGAACCCGTAGCCTCTCGTACAGTTCGTGTGGTTTTCCTACTTGATCATAGCTATATGAACCTAGTGAGTTTATATCCGAGCCCCACCTAGACACAAGATACTGAATCTGCATGGTAGAAACAAATTACCAATTAAATCTTATGTATGACTGATGAATGAATAAAGTATTGAAGCATTAATTTTTCTAGCATTTCAAAAGTGAAATTTTGTGGTTACCGGTGAAGAAGCTTCAGGAAGGATCTTCTTGAGTTGCATGAAAGCAAAGTTAGCAGCTGCTTCATCAGACATTTTTTCAATGTCTTTGGCGAGCCGCCCAGAAGGCATGTAAACAAGGACAGGATGACTTGCAGCCTTGTGGAGATTGAGGAAATAACTACATCCATAAGATGTTTCTGCAACTACTCCCAAGAACTCTACATTAGGCCAAAATACATTCTCAAAATGTAGAATAATTTTGTTTTCGAGTCCAACTCCAAGTTCAGCAATGGCAGCTTCTTTCCAGTCTGGGAGCTTTGGCTCAAATGATATCCTATTTGCTTTAAGGACACCAAGAGGGACAGCAATAATAGCAGCATCAGCAATAAATGTTTTCCCATTGTCCACTGTCACTTTTACTCCGTTATATCTCCGAACAACTTTTGTGACCCTGAGAAAAGAGGCATTTTTAATGTCAGTAAATTTAATTAAACAACATAACAGGAAATACAATTTCAAATCAAATATTCAAACTGATATCTACCTGTGCCCTAAGCGAATATCAAGACCCTTGGCTAGGGTATTTATAACAGGTAAGTAGCCCCTGACCATAAGACCATGACCACCGGGGAGAAGTACTTCCTGTCAGAACATATTCAAAGAGGTGTAAGATATGAAAGCAAGATACATTCAAAAGAAAAATGCTTGTGTTGGTTAAGAATTTTCTTGCAATATGCTGTAATTAGGGTCAATCTAGGTCAATTTAGTTTAATAAGCACTCTTTTCTAATGTTCTTTAGAATAGGCCTATGTAAAGGGAAGAACCATTTTTATTAAACAGAAAACCCTACAGCCATAATACCGAGTTCAGCATTTCCCTGTCATGCAACCAGATGGCAAGGGACATACACACGCCCCTCCCTGTGTCACTTTTTTATTATTTTGAAACAGCAGATGTTAGTATCATTAATATTATGCTAGGGGTGGAGATCGAACCCTCAAGATTCTTATAACTCCACTCCTTGAGTCCCTCAGCCCCAATCCCCATCCTTATATCCCCTCCCTCCCAGTGTGATTTTGTTTGTCTAAACATAAATGAAATTTACCCGTGTTTAACTTATCCATTTCTTGCATAACAACAAAATGGTCATTTTTATCTCCAGAAATGGTCTCTAAATTTCAATAAGATGCATACTCCTACATGAGTAGATCAAGCAACACATTTACATGATTATCGGTCATAGAAAGGCTGCATGTTGAAGACTCATGCACCTGGCTATGAGACGACTTTACAAATTATTTCTTTCACTACAGGAGCTACCTGTATGTAACACCAAAGAGAGTAGATCATTTAGTGCGTAAGTTAAGGTGGGGCAGGGGGAACTTAATAGGTAACACAAGATTAATATCTTCAAGTTGATTACTTCAAATTACCTGGTCCCAGCCATTCAGTGAAATTGTATCAGAATCAGCAGCAAACCAGCCCTCCATTCTGCATAAATACCACTGAAGTACCTTATGGGCAAGCCCCTCCAGCCTGCACTCGAAAGTGGAAATCATTTTATTTTACTACAGTTTAAAATAAAAGCAGTCAGGGTGTCAAGGAAATTTAAGTTTACGCATTGATAACCTTAATTCTGGCTTCCTTTCAAAAACAATTGAAAGACCGCGCTGTATGGACATGTCTTTAATGAATTCATTTCTTACTTTATTTGTCTGCATTTAACCAAAGACAATATTTCAGAGGTTTCACACTATGAGAACAAGTAGAATCAAACATTAGAAGTGATAATCTGGAAAAATTGTTTTCTATTGTGGTAATGCATTTCAGTAGGTACAAAATGATTTTTTTTCCTATGAAAGCAGAAATGGAGTGCAAAGGCATCACTATATGGTAGAGGAATCCCAACTTTGTTAAGACCCTAAAACCTAACAATCATTTGTAGTAAACCAAATAACTAGAAGAACATTTGAAATAAGATGATAATTTACCTCAAGTAAAATTGTCTCAAACACTTCACCAACTTTTGTTACCAATTCCTGGGGAACTTGAGTCCCATCCTTATCAAAAAGTGCATAACTGAAAGAAGGTAATGATTTTAAATAAAAAAGAACTAGCTTATTATAACTTCTCCCTTGCATAACAACTAGAAAAACGATTATCTTTATGCAAGTGAAGCAGAACTTTCAAACCAATATAACACCAAAACATATGTACCTACCTTTCCAAATCATGATCATAGAGCACGGAGTTATCCCCACTAGTCCGGTAAAGGGGTAGCCCAAGCCTCCCAATCACTGAAGCAAGTGGATTCTCTTTGGAAACTCCATGCAACCTGAAACAGAAAAAGAGTGTGCCAGTTTTTAATTATAAAACAAATGGGAAAAAATTGCATAGTCTCATCAAGATTCAAATACATTAGAACATAAAGAGAATAATAAGTTTTACCATGATGCTCCCAGGTCAACAGGAAAGCCAAATGAGTAATCCGTGTGAATTCTGCCACCAAGTCTTTCCCTAGATTCTAAAAGAACAACCTGACCAAAATTTTAAAAAATAAAGCACCATTTAGTACCCTGACTCTGAAAATGCATATTAAGTTATTAACCGACTACAGGTTACAAATGCAAGTCCAAAATAAAAAAAGATGAAACACATTGCAGCATTGCATAAATGGTTTTTTTTTTAATGAATAAAAATAAATTATATTTCCAGTTCACGACTTCATTATTGAGGTAATCATGCAAACACAAACAATTATTGTCAGGTTCCTCGATAAAATAACAAGAAAGGAAGTGGAGAGGATATAAATCATGTGATACAACAATATGCATGTCCAATTTTTAAATAAGAAGCAACTCTGTGACACAATGCCGAGCATAAATGTTCTTTCCAAAATTATATAGCCATTTCATTAATTACATTAGCGAAGCAAACATAATGAATTATTGTCGAGGTTAGATGAAGCAGAAAACAAAAAATTACTCCTATTAACTTTTTAACCATGAAAGTTCAAGCTTCAAACAAGAAGCATCTCAGTATGTCTATAACACAATATTGTGCTAAATGTTTCTGTTTAAATTGTAATGCCACTTCATGACTTGCACATTGGAGCAAACACAAATGAACTAAAAAATGGCAACATGTTTCCTAAATTCAATTATTACATATTACATGTGTTCTTGACTGCCTTTCATGGAATTCTAGTCTCGTAATGTATAGTTTTACTCGAGTGAAGTGAAAAGCAACCCTAATTCTAAACTAGCAAGTATAACTAGGGGTGTGCAGGGATCATAAAACAAACCAAATTGAAATATATATATATATATATATATATATATATATATATATATATATATATATAGTTTGGTTTGGATCTTAAAAATGTTTCATTAAAACCGGTTTACATGTGGATCGGTTCAGTTCTAATCTGGTTTCTCACAAAAAATCAGTTTAAAAAAACAGTTTTAAACTGGTTTCTCTCTCAAAACCAGTTTTTTATTTTCTTTAAAAAAAATCAGTTTTATATCAAAAATTGTTTTATTTTCTTTAACCAGCATTTTTATTTTAAAAAGTTCTAAAACTAGTTTATGTCAAAAACATTTAGGTAAAAAAATTTGGTTTGAACAGAAAGTCATTACATTCTGAGAGTTGCCTGAATACTAAATTTTGTTGGTGCACAAATGAGAGATAAAGGGTAAAAGAAATATATTAAATGACGGCTACAAAATGAAGAGTAATGAATTACATTGACCTACCTATTAATAGGTTATTTATACACAAATATTAAGATATAATAAAATATTAAAATATCCTCTAACAGACTTGATCATCAAGACATTTCTAAAATATAAATTATTTCCAACATCATCCTTTAATTTATATTTACACAAAACTGACAAAACCAATTTCATCCCTCAAACGAAGAAATTGATCAGTCTTGATAGTCTTTGTTAGAACATCCGCCAACTGCTTCTGAGTGCTACAGTGCACAACTTCTAATACTCTACTCTAACCTAATTCCTCAGAAAGTGATACTCAGTCTCAATATGCTTGCTTCTGCCATACAGCACTGAGTTCTTGACAAGATTGATTCCAGACTTGTTATCAATCATCAACTTTAGAGGCTTGTTTACCGAAATCTTCAGATCCTGCAACAAGTTTAGAATCCACACAGCTTGGCATGTAGTCAGAACGTCTGCAATATATTCAACTTCACAGGTTAACAGCACAACAGGTTGATTCTTGGAACACCAAGAAATTAGACCTCCCAGAAATTTGAATAAGTATCCAGAAGTACTTCTTCTGTCAACTCTGTCTCCACACAAGTCAGAGTTCGAATAACTCTGAAGTTCTGATTCGGTCTTTCTTTCAGAATGAAATAACACTCCATACTTCAGAGTTCCCTTCACATACCTTAGAATCCTGACAGCAGCTTGGTTTGAGACCACTTTAGTTTACTCATAAATCTATGTTAACCATTCCAACTGCATAGCAAATATCAGGTATGGTATTACACAAATACCTCAGAGAAACAACCAACTGTTTGAAGCTTGTAACATCTACATCCTCTCCATCAGAATCAAAGTCCAACTTCTGATTCGTATCAGCAGGTGTGATAGCAGCTTTGCAACTCTCCAGCTTAAATCTCTTCAGAAGCTCAAGTTCATACTTCATCTGATGCAAAATGATTCCTTTCTTAGAGTACATAAACTTCATCCCTAGAAAGTAACTCATTTTTCCAAGATCTGTCATCTCAAACGCATTCATCAGAACCTTCTTGAACTTAGCTATCTCTTGTTCAAAACTTCCTGTTAGCAATATGTCATCAACATACAAACATACCAAAATTATATTACCTTCTGAACATAAACACCATACTCCATCTCACACTTCTGAAACCCTTGTTCCTTGAAAAATGAATCAATCTTCAGATTTCAGGCTTTGAGCGCTTGCTTCAATCCATACAAGACTTTGTGTAATTTAAACATCATCCCTTCCTGATTCTTTTTCTCAAATCCAGGAGGTTGTGACATGTATATCTTTTCATGTATATCTTTTACATCTAAATGCATCAGAGGCCAATTCCTGTTAGCAGCTATTACAATCACTAGTCTGATTGTTTCATGTCTCACTACAGGTGCAAACACTTCAGAGTAATTCAACTCAGGCTTCTGTAGAAAACCTCTTGCTACTAATCTTGCTTTGTGTTTGCCAATTGATCCATCTTGGTTTAGCTTCTACTTGAAAACTCATCTGACGTTGATGGCTTTCTTGTATTTTGGATGTTCTGTCAGTTTCCAAGTCTTGTTTCTCTCTATAGCATCAAGTTCTTCTTTCATGGCGTGCAACCAGACTTGCTGCTTAAGAGCCTCTTCCGTACTCACAGGTTCAGAGTCTACTAACATTGCACACTGAATAACTTCTCCTTAGGAGTCTACTTCAGTGTCTTGCAACATGTCAAACTCTGCAAATCTTCTTAGAATGCTTCTTACTCTTTGTTGCCTCTGAACTTGAACTTCAGATCCTCGGACACCAGAACTTTCCCCTTCAGAAGCTCTTGCGTCAGAAATTAGACTTTCTCCAGAACCTTGACTGTCTTCATAGTCTGAAAAATTCCCAAAGTCTAAATCACCATCAGAGTCAGAGTCAGAATCATCTTCACCTTTTAAATCTTCTTCAGAGTCAAAGTCACCATCGGACTCGTCTTCAGAGTCAAAATCTTTATCAGCTTCAGAAACATGTGTTTCTGACTTTTCTTCAGAAGTTCTCTCATCAGAGTCAGGACGAGACTTTTTCCAATTCCAAACTTCTGATTCTTTTACAATGACGTCTCTGCTTAACTCAACTTTGTTAGTTTCTGGACAATAAAGTTTGTACGAATCTGTACTTTGGTACCACACCAGTAACATTACTTTACTTCTATCATTCAGCTTGTTTTCTGACTTCTGAGACATGTTAACATACAAAACCAAACACCTTCAGATGACTAACACTTTACTTATCTCCAATTCACTTCTGAATAGGAACTATTTCCTTCAGCTTCTTCGTTGGACATCTGTTGAGCACATAACATGCAATGGCAACAGCTTCTCCCCATAAAGTATAAGGAAACTTCTTCTCTTTCAGCATGCTTTTCACCATATCAAGCAAAATACGTTTCTTCTTTCAGCAAGACCATTGTGTTAAGGAGTATAAGGAGCAGTAACCTCATGCTCAATTCCATTTTTCTCACAGAACGTTCTGAATTCTATAGAGTTATACTCACCACCATCATCAGTTCTAAGAATCTTCAATCAGATTCTCAACCTTTAGTCTGAACTTCTTGAATTCAACAAGCACCTCGTGTTTGAACTTTATGAGAGATACCCATGCCATTCTGGCTATCTCATCAACAAATGAAAAAGTATTTATTTCCTCCAATCAATTCCATGTACCAGCTTCTTTCATTTCAGATGCCATAAGCTTCTGAAATTCAGATGATCAGATCTTCTGTGCCACAATTCACTCTCCTTGACAACACTTGTTGCACTAAGACATTCAGAGTATGCAGTTCTAACATTCACCTTGAATGTTCTGTTCCTTCCCTATTCTTACTTCATAATCAGCTTCTGATTACAGTCATACAACTTCAGAAGATTGTCCTTCATGGTAACTGAAAAACCTTTCTCAATCAATTGTCCCACACTCATCAGAAAGGGTTTCTCCACAAGTTTCATCTCATTTCACTGATGTGTCACCACCGTAACATCTAATCAGTGTGTCTCACGCAACCTTTATTGTTTCAGAGTCAGCAATCTTCTCAAACACATTCGCATCCATACAATGATGAATGTAGAACAATGCATTCTGACCTTTCTTCCTTATCGCCTTTTGCGTTGTCTTATGTGCCCCCATCGCATCTGCTGCTAACAGAGCATAGCCATCGATGACAAGATCTAACACATCTTGAGAACCGAACAATTCAGTCATCTGAATTTTCCAACGATTCCAGTTTTTGTCAAAATTTGTAAATGTGTTTCTCAATCACACAACACTTCACTTATCACCCGTGTTTCTCGGTGAATTTCGAATCGGAACTTTAGATACTAATTGTTGGTGCACAAAGGAGAGATGAAGAGTAAAAGGAATATATTAAATGACGGCTACAATATGAGTAATAAATTACATTGACCTACCTACTAGTACTACTAGACTATTTATACACAAATATTAGAGTATAATAAAATACTAAAATATCCTCTAACAAACTTAATAAATAGAATATTTTTAAAATATAAATTATTTCCAACAAATTTAAAGACTCATTCCAATCATTAACAATCCTCCGGTCAAAATTGATACACAAGATTCAATAAGTGTTGTAAATTGAAATAAAATATAAAATAACAACATAGCACAAAATAAAGAACTAAGCTGTTTTCCAAAAGTTTCCTTCAATGTTCACCGAAGAACTATCTAAAATCAAAATCAGGTACTAACTTAGGTAGTGTATAACCCAAACCATTTAACCGAGTCTTATCTCAGTATGTGAGATAGGCTACAGTAACATAAATCAAACGATGCCATAATATTCCATATTATCTTTCTACCTAACTCATTAATCTCTAAATCTTTATTAATCAATACATGCAATATAAACCATTATAACTATTTATAACAAAGTAACATTCTACTTCAACATTTCAAACTTATAAATCAAATTATTTAGCTCAAACACCTGAATTGAAGCATCTTGAAGTGCTCGTGCAGCTGCAATCCCAGCCATGCCACCACCAATGACAATAACAGATGGTGACCTCTCCTGCTCACTGCTAACATTTCCATAGCAAAGAGCTACAGAAAAAAAAAAGGAAAACAAAACAAAATAAAATAAAGCATATTATTAAATACTAAATACCCAATTTAAAATAAAATAAAATTTGTTCACACTTTTTTGACTAATAGGAAGCTTTTCATCATCATTTCTAACTTAGAAAGATAGAAAAGTCAATTCGTTAGATTAACTTAAATTTAAAAAGATTAGATTTACTAAAACAACGTATATTAATTTAAACGTGTACGTTTTCACAAAAGAAAATCGTTTTCCATAACAACTCTCTTGTGATAACACTATTTTTCCGATAACAGTTTTATTATAATTAACAATAAAAAAAAAACTCATATCAGAATAAAAAAAAATTTGATTCTAATTTCAAAGGTCTCAAACTTGACAAGTGTAATTTGTACTTTTACTTATAATAAATTAAATCTTTAATAATAAACAAATAAAAAACGCATGCACGTGTCACATGTTATGAGTTAGACTAGACATATTTTTTCAAACAAAAACTTTCAAACATAATAAATAAAAAAGCATATAATAATATAATAATAAAAACACACCACAAACTAACAAAATAAAATCAGTTTTATCCTAAAATCCAATAAATAAACTGTTCACAAAGTTTGGTTTACGTGCAATAACAAGTACATTTTTCATTCAATAATTCTCTATAATTAATTTAAACCACAAATATTACTATCACTATTATTATTATTTATACATTATTTTGTCCTGTATAAAAACATTAGGCACCGACAACCAAACCAAATAAAAATAAATAAACAATAATAGAAATATATATTTATATATGTTATTAATTAACTAATTAATAGTATGAAAATCAAACCTCTTGTTAATTTGGGATTACTCTTATTTCCTGACTCCATATTGAGAATAAGATTATGAACTACGATCGAGATTACAGTTACAGAGCGATTCAGGAGAAAAATGGAGGAAAAAAACGAACAAACAGGTAACAAAGTGATTAAAATTCAAGTTCGACGATAAATCCAGATTTGCGAACCGGTTCATACAGCTGGATTTTTCTTCCGAACAGTTCAACCACTATTTCACGCAGTGATTTTTGGATTTCTGAACCGAAGTGAAGAAATCAACCACGGAATCGCGATTTAGCGAGATCGGGGGAAGCTTTTTGTCGGTGTTTGGTGAGATGGAAAACGCTCCGAGAAAAAATGGGGGGAGAGAAAGGAAAATTCTAGAATGAGAGAAAGGAGATTGGAGAGAGAAAAGATGAATTGTGATGTTGGGGTGAATTTTGGCGTCACATTTATAGAATTGGTTTGTAACGTACCGGAATTGAACCGTCCATTATCGTGACGCTCTTTGGAGCGCGTGATGTCACGTTGTTTACTTTTTTGATATTTTGAAACGTGGATAGTGTTGTGTATATTTTTCTTTTATAAAGATGGTGTATTTTTTTTTAATCAAGATGGGTGTACTTTTTATTGTTGCAAGGACACGTCACACGTGTTTAATTTTTATATGCGTTTGATGCGTACGAGTGTGGTATGATTTTTAAAATGTAATAAAATAATATAAAATAAAATAAAAATAAAACTTCAAATAAATTAAAAAATATTAACATATTATTGAAAAAAAGAAAAATAAAATAGACTCAAAGATAATTGTGTAAATTTTTAATATAATTATTGTTAACAAAAAGTATTAAACACATATGTTATAAAAAATAATTATGAAAATAAAAAATAAAATATTTTGTTAGGATTGATAAAATTATAATATTAAAATAATTTATGAAATTTATTAAATGAAATAAATAAATATTTAAAATTAGAATTAGTTGAAAATAAGTAAAAAATTAATTTTATATAAAAGTCCAAAAAGTGAATGATCTAAAAGAATGAAGTTTAATGTTGTATTTATTAAATTTTGGACTATGGTTTAAAGTATAAAAAAAAATGAAAAAGTCAGTAGTACAATTGACACAAGTTTAACTTTTATTTTCTTTATTATAACAAAAAATGTAAAAATTTGTGCGTGTGTGCGCAGAAATGTTGGTATGATGACCCGTGAGTTCGCATGGTTTTTAGTATAGTTACTCGTGCGTTCACATGGAATTGGTGTATTACCCAAGCGTTCGCACGGATACTGGTGTGTTACTACTGTGTGGATTGCCTCAAGTATGTCAGTTAGATTATGTGGGTAGAAGTAATTTCACCTTCCTGCATGAAGGTAATGACATAATGCATTAGAACTGTATTGTGTTGTGTTAACAAAAAAATGAAAAATTATCATTGCGATACGCAAATTACTGTGATGGGAATTAACTTTTCAAATGATATGTCCTCGCCAATACTCTCCAAGATCTGTTGCAAATGTGACAGGAATACAATTTAAACTAATGAATATCTGGTGCTAGCTAAATGGCAAGGCATTATAGAAAAGAAAAAAATACCTGCATTGAATGTGAGGTCTCTTGAATGATAGGAATTGGCTGGCATAACATATCAACACTAGGCATTTCCACCATCATTTACAATTGATATCCTTATTAAAACTATTGTTTCAACAATTGCTGCAATGTCAAAAATCCAACTCCAAACATTGTACATACAAAATAATTGTGTTCATATAATCCTATCTTCCTGAGAAACTACTAAGGAACTACTCAGTTCGTAACTGCACATTCGGATTTCAAAATTTCAATATTCCTTCTTTGAGTAGTGAACATAAATGTAGAATAAGTTGTTTATAAAAACAAAGATGAAAAACAAAATAAGTTCTTCAATAAACACAACTTGAGATTTAGTTTTATTACTTAACTAGTAACAAACCCGTGCTATCGCACGGGTCTCGTCTGGATTCACATTACATTTATAGATTATTAAATTATTAAGTATGTTACCATGTTTTCAGTTGAGTATATGTCTCATGTAAACCATGTTGGCATTTAACTCCATATTTGTAGCAAGCGTCGGTCCTATCAACAAATCACGTCTGCATGAACAAATAGGAAAAATTATATACTTCTTGAAATACATGGAAAATGTACATACTATATATTTTAATTCAAAATAGATTTTTAATTTGAATCGTAAAGTATAAGATATAAAGTTTACCAACTATCAAAGTGCTTGAAAGACTTCCTTGTACACAACATTAGTAGTAGTAGAACACGGTACATTCTCCTTGTCATGAATTGAGATTTTTAGTCCACTTTTGCTCTTAACTCTTGAAATTGCAACATATAATTGACCATGACTAAACACGGGAGTGGGCAAATACAATCCAACACTATCAAGAGATTGACCTTGTGACTTATTAATTGTCATTGCATAGGAGACAATAATCGGAAATTGTCTCCTAATCAACTTGAATGGCCAAGGTGAATCAGAAGGTGACATAGACATTCGTGGAATGAAAAAAATGTTATCTATGTTCTTTCTAGACATGATTTTTGCCTCAATGACATGATTTGCAAATCTTGTAACAATTAATCTTGTTCCGTTGCACAACCCATCGGCTTGGTCCAAATTTCTCATTAGCATAATAGGTGTACCAACCTTCAATTTGATCCTATGATTGGGAAGCCCTGACGTTCTTAATTTACTGAGAAATTCAGGAGTTAGAACTTCATATGCTTCAGTATAACTTGAATTTGTTCTATCAATGGAATCAAAACTCAAATACTCTTTCTCTTCTCCTAAAAAAAGTTTAAAAGCAAAACATAAATAAATTAGTAAAACTATGTTCTTATATATATGTATATATATATATATATATATATATATATATATATATATATATATATATATATATATATATATATATATATATATATATATATATATATATATATATATATATATATATATATATATATATATATATATATATATATATATATATATATATATATATATATATATATAGTATGAATGTAATAATACAGTAAATATAAAACACATGTACCTGGTATCAAGTCTAATATATAATGATTGGTTTTGTCCACAACTTCAATGGTTGAAGCAAGAATAACCTTTCCTTGTAAGAATTCAACATCTTGATATTTTTCCAACAAATTGGGATATGTGTTTTCAACAATTGCTCTTATAGGATCATTTAAATTTGATATTAATAGCTCTTGAGGAATTTCAATATCAACCAAACCATCATTGGGTTCACAAATCTTACCATCACCCACATTTAAAATCCATTTTGAAAATTCTGCTAGTTCATTAGAACTTGTGTTGTCTCTTCCCTCTTGAAGTCTCATATTTTTTGATAGTGTTAAAACCTGGCAATAATCCCATCCATAAGATGAACTAATTGATGCATGAACAATATCAGAACGCCCAGCTCTTGGAACAACAGGAAGAATCTGTCTAAAATCTCCTCCAAATACAACAACTTTTCCACCAAAAATAGTATTCTCAACACCCTTTTTGCTCATTACATCTTTAAGGGTTTTATCCAATGCTTCGAAGCAGTTCTTGTGAGACATAGGTGCCTCATCCCATATTATCACATCCGTTGCTTCAAATAATTGAGAATGTTCGGTGTCTTTGTCGATGTTGCAAGTTGAGTTGTCAAGCGTTGGCACAGGTATTTTGAACTTTGAGTGTGCTGTTCTTCCACCCGGCAATAATAACGAAGCTATCCCACTTGAAGCAACAGTAAGAACAATTTTTTTTTTAGAACGAAGTGCACTTGATAGTGTTCTCCACATGAAAGTTTTACCAGTCCCTCAGTAACCATGCAAGAAAAATACCCCCCCACTCTGTTTGTTAACAGCATCCATGATTTTCTCAAATATCAAACGTTGTTCATCTATAAAATACAAGCCAAGAATTATAAGTGCAAGGACAATAAAAATCATTTTTGTAATTCATACTATAAAGAAAATAAATCACCTGTAAGGGCATGAAAAAGTTCTTGGAATTTCTGTTTCTCGGTATCGGCATCGTAATTAAGTTCGTCATAAATAAGCCTATTGCCAACATGTTTTGTGATGTATGAATCTGGATACGGCATACATTTAAATTCATGAAAACTTCTTCGATTCGATTGCATCATGCTCTCAATCTCAATTAGTGTGAGATTCTTTAACTCATTGTCCGATAGCTGCAATTATGTTAAAAAAATTTCATTAGTTTTCTATATAATTACATATGTATGATGCAACTGCTGTCGTGATGTTGAAATACATTGAACATAAATCAAACAATTGATGTTGCGGCTGCGTGAAATTAAATGGAACCAAAGACACTGTTGCAGCTGCAAGTTAAGAAAATAACTTACATACATGACAAATGACAAATATGAAAATGTTTCTTACGTAAATGGACATACCTTATGAAACATATTAAATAAGGGACATATGGATGAAGAATAATTATATTTTAAAGTAAGTTCATATCATTATATTTTGTAATAAAAAAAGATACAGCTTGCATTTGGAAAATAATATTTGTTGACTTAAAAAAGTTTAATAAAATGTTCATACCTCTTCTATTTGTTTTTTTCCTTTGTTGGTAGAGGATACCATCAGATAACGTCCTCCAAGTTTTTTCCCAAACATGTTGTGGTCTATTGACAGTACCGGATAGTAACATAGTGACAAATAACTTTCGTAAAAAATGCCCGGAACCCCAATTCTTTGCTTCGTCGATGGCTGCAACATATTCCTTGTCATCGTTAAGAAAGCCCATTTCGAAGCATGCATCCCTAAAAGAATCCTGAACTTTTCCACCCACAAATTTTATATCCTCATAGCAAGTTGGACCTTTGACGACTGTTAGCATCATTCTCAAGAAATATAACTCACCCGTACTTGGAGGGACCCAAATAAGTCTGCCAATTGTATTTCCTCTTTTACGCGGTCTCCATCGACGGTATCTTTTAT